ATAGTCAGTCAATCTCTGGGTCTGACAGGAACACTTACTTAGCTTAGCATAAATAATTGAATCAGATTAGACCAGTGGTGTAAAGTAACTAATTACAAATACTCAAATTACTGTAATTGAGTACTTTTTCTCAGAAATTGTAATTTACTAAGTAGTTAAATGTGTACTTTTACTTTTCCTTGAGTACATTTTTAGTGCAGTATCTGTACTTTTACTCTCACTACTTTCCATCAGCCTGCAGTCACTACTTTATTTTTTCTTGTCTATGGGAATTAGAAAAATCAGTTCTGTAATTCCTGTCCAATCAAATCACACATAGAAGGTAACTTGCATCATAATAAGCTACCCCAAGACATGTGCACTTTACATTGCAGCAAACAGTTTGGAAGCATTAAAAGTGTCCAAGAAGATTGACCTAGAGACTGTTTAGATCAGGGATGCCCAAACACAGTCCAGGGGTCTGTTCTTCGAAGCTCGCTTAAATGATCTAAGATGATTTGGCAGATCCTGGATCTTTTAATCTTGATAACTAATCTCTGGCTAATTTAGTTTTTCAAACAAGTTCGTGAATCAGATTAAAATGCCTGGATGAACTGATCCAAGATCCCTGCATGTATGGTGAAGGACTGATCTATCGATCCTCAAAATCATGATCAGCAATGCAATGATTGGCTGACGGCACAGCAGCGTAATGACATCATCTGATTAATATTCAATTATCCATGTGAGCAAATTGCATCAAATTCATTGGAAACGGTTTGTTAAATATTACACGTAATAACTTTACACCTTGTTGTGGGCTGCATGATTGGCCCTTTCATGTGTCAAGAGCAGTTTATTAAGTTTTACAGTTAGAGCGCATTTTCCTTATCATAGTACCCATAGTAGTATTATAGTAGCCGTTTTTACAATTGGTGTAAAGAATAACTGGATGTTTACAAAAGCATTTTGTACAGGAGATTAATGTGGATATAGTCTAACATTAGATTTATCTTCCTAATTATTATTTCAGACCCATAAAAAGAATTACTGCTAGATAACAATCATCTGTATTTTTCCTGTCATGGCAAAGCGTGTATCAGCAAACTAATAATGAAGCCTGTTAAATCTCTCACTTTACCGAATTAACAGTGATCCATCAGATCCTGTAGGTCAGAAAGCATAGTTTACTGCTGAACCCCTTTTACCATGGTAAAATAACACAGAAATTGAATAAAAAGAATCAATCGCCTCCCGAAGCTCTGATGGTCTGCTTTGAGAAACTGTCAATCACAACTATCAATCATGATGACATGCCTGGTTTTTAAAACATTAAATTACTGGCTAAAAACATACTCTTTTAAAAAATGAAGATCTGCACCTATATCAGAATGCTAATCAGTATACCTTACTTGACCAAAAAAATCTTTCGGGACAAATGTAATGAATTTTTGTGCTCAAATTTCGTTCATTAACATGAAGGAGGCAGGCTTTATAACTTGTACTGCAGCCAGCCCGCTGGGGGCGATCTAACGGCTGGGGGCATCACTCAAAAGCAAGCATGTGGCACACTTGGATTAGACCATTAGCATCTTGCTCAAATTTCAAAAAATGAGTTTTGATAATTTTCCAATTTAAAGCTCGACTCTTCTTCCATTGTTTATGAAAACTGGCGGAAAATGAAATGTTGCTATTTTCTAGGTCAACATGGCTCTATATTCTCATTCTTGCCTAGTAATCTAGGAACTTTGCTTCTGTACCACGGCAGCAGCAAAGCCATTGATATTATATAATGTTGTTTGCTAGTTATCTAGCTGGGGACTATTTTCAGGCGCTGCATAATCTTTCACATTCTGTGTATTTTATTTGAGAACTCAAATTAAAGCTGCTTTGATGTGTCATGACGAGGCTAGCCCAAGGCTAATTCTTTACTACTTGTTATAGCACCCAAATAAACAAAGAAATATATGCCACAAGATCAACCAACTAGTGTTCCAAACGCAAAAAAATAATAATAATAAAAATAAATAAATAAATAAAACAATATGAACAATTTGTCACATAGCATTGCTTTAAAAATGTATATAAATAACTAATGTATATATAACTACTTTCAATTAGCAATTAATTAATATTAACTAGAGTAGAAACAATTTTTTAATTACTTACAGACCTATTGTAAAAATTACCTTATGTGCAACTTGGACAATAACTTGAGTATTGGTAACGATATACAAAGACTATAGGGTTCACAAGACATCTCACTCATATAGTTTTGAATGGAGAGAAGTGTAACAGTCAATATGGCGAATAAAGCCCAGCCTACTAGTACAGGACCCAACCATCGATCACTATAGATCGATAATGTTTACAACAGTTTGGTGGTCAACAAACACACAGGAAAACTTGCTTCACAAACATTAGAATTATATCCACATACAGCTTGAAATCTGTGATTTTTAAATGAACCAACTACACTTGATATCCAAAGATTTTTTTGTCTTTGTAATCTGTATAAAACGAACGAGGTATAGTCCTGTCAAACGCACATCACAAGACAGCAGCAACTACTCCAACGCCCACAAACTTGCAAACAAAGAGTCGCTGCTATTTCCAGAGGAGATTCACCATCAAGAACAAGTTGTGAATTACTTCAGAAGACCAGAGCAATCTGATAGAGCATTAATCAGAGGATGATAATGTGTACAGCCATAAATGAGGTTGGTGTCGTGATTTTTTTCCTTTTGAGTGCGCATGCGCATTAGCTCAGGCAACCTGAAAATACGCCAATTTTGTTTGATTCAGATGCTTAGAAACAAAACTTATAAGACAGCTAATGTTTAATTTTATTGATGATTCCAAATATATAATGTAATCGTGTGGTTGGCAAACAGTTTTTGAGAATTTGATGTTTCCCTTTAGAATGTCCAAGCATTCTGCCTGAGAGGTGTTTCAAAGATGGCCGCAGAGTGAAGTGACTTGACTTAAAAGGACTTTGCTATATATTAAAAAAGGAAGTAATTAAATGTAATAGTTAAAATTATTACAGTGTGCAAATAATAAGGCTACCTAAAGAGTGTACAGTATCCGTTTATAATGTCGTGACGTATGGAATACTGTTCCAGGTCCAAGCCACTACTCGTTTGAATTGAGAAAATATTTGTTTATGGCCACTTTTAAGTCATATCAAACATTAAAGTGAATTTAATATAAACTTATGATGTACACAACAGTCTCTGGACTTGCTGCATCACAAACACCAATATTTTAACAATTTATAAAAAATGAATCACTTTCTGGCCATCGGATATTAGGCATGGATATAGATAGTTGAAGTCAGTATTACTAGCACCCCTTTTAATTTTCTGTTTCTTTTTTAAATATTTTCCAAATGCTGTTTAACAGAGCAAGGAAATTTTCACAGTATGTCTGATAATATTTTTATCTTCTGGAGAAAGTCTTATTTGTTTTATTTCAGCTAGAATAAAAGCAGTTTGAATTTTTTAAAAGCCATTTTAAGGTCAAAATTATTAGCCTCTTTAAGCTATATATTTTTCCGACTGTCTACAGAACAAACCACCTTCATACAATAACTTGCCGAATTACTCTATCCTGCCTAGTTAACCTAATTAACCTAGTTAAGCCTTTAAGTGTCACTTTAAGCTGTATAGAAGTGTCTTGAAAAATATCTAGAAAAATATTATTTACTGTCATCATGGCAAAGATAAAAGAAATCAGTTATTAGAAATGAGTTATTAAAGCTATTATGTTTAGAAATGTGTTGAAAAAAATGTCTCTGTTAAACAGAAATTCGGGAAAAAAATAAGCATGGGGGACAATAAATCTGACATCAACACTACATATATATTATTTATTATCACCTTTGTTTAGTCTCCCCATACAGTTTGATATGGCGCTTGGACCCGGAAGCTGCTTCGTGTGACGTCACACTTAACAAGCAGATAAGATGACAACAATTATCGGCCGATATATACTGTAGGTATATCTCTAATTGCATTCAAAACAGTAATATTCCATTCTGAACACATCCAGAGACAGAGTCCACAGGCAGTGCACAGTACTTAAAGCACGTCTGTGGCAAGGGCACTGGAGACCAATTTCTCATCCATCAATGTGACAATGCCCTGAGAGAGTCGGAACACAGCCCTCATTAGCAACATTGCTGTCTTAACACATTCGGCAGAGCTCCCTAACAGCAAAAAAAAAAACGAACTCC